TAAATGTTTGACCACTTTTTATAAAAGGGTCCCATCATAGTTACAGTATATTCTGGCGTATAAGACTACTTTTTTACCCAAGAAAATCTTCTCAAAAGTCAGGGGTCGTCTTATACACAGGTGTAGTCTTATGCATGGGAGCCGTCTTAACTCTATATTTTAACTGGAAAAGTTGGGGGTCGTCTTATACTCCCAGTCGCCTTATATGCCGGAATATACGGTATGTAGTCAGTTTTAGCTCTGTGCTAGTGTTGGGATTTCTCTTATAATCCTCAGAAATACAGTAGAACTTCCATATTTGCTGAAGATATGTTTCAAGATCCCCCGTTGATATCTAAAATTCCGGAAAATAGGAATGTAGCATCATATTGAAGACTAACTGGTTTTTATTTTAACCTGAGCATTCATGAATATAAACCAATTTTTTGCACTGAAGAATCAGCCTCCCTAGAGAAGGCAGGCAGCAAATCCTCTATGGGTGCTGGAAGCAATATCGATCACCCACTCTTATGAGCCACATCCACACCAACTCAGAGATTCTGTTATGTTCTTGCATCTGGATTATTTTTTTTTCCTGTACCCCTGCTGATTTTGGTTTTTCAGTTTTTGGCTGATTCTCTGACTCTTGACCTCTAGGCTGCTGATCAACCACACTGATTCTCATTTCCCCAAGCACATTACGGTACAAATGTGCTTCAGGTAGAGCAACATGTAGGCTGAACCGAATGATCCTTCAGCTGACCTTTAACAGACTTTGAGATTATAGCCTTAGCTGCTTTGAAATATGTGAAATAGTCATGAGAGATGGATTGTAAAGTGGGATATCAAACTTGTTGAATTGATGATTGTATTACTTTAAGCAGGATAATTGGCAAAGCAACCAAAAGAGTACATTTTTATTCCCCAGATTTTTTGCAATAATGCTGAGTTCTATCAGTATACTTCCAATTATAGAAGCTCAGAAAAGCAGTGTGGACTTTTATTTAAGAAGAGTACACATGATCGTCTAAATTGCTGCTTACATTGTAATTCTGGAAAGACTTAGACCCATTTCTTTTTTTTAAGTTTGTAGATATTTGAAGAAAAGATTGTGCTTTGCCACTAGGGAAATGTGTGAAGTGTTACTATATAGCACTTCATTAATAGGCAATTTAAGCCTTCTGTCGACTTGATTATTTTTCTAGAAAAAAGTGACTGTGGGGGCGTAGCATAAGGTGCACTCCATATTTGTTACCAGTTGGAAGTGTATTTCAGAGATCAGAGTTCTTGTTAAAATGAATGATAGATGAAGGCACTAAATACCGAATTTGAAAAAGAACTGGCATTTATTAGTCGGTAGCAGGTAGATGTGGGTGCGGGTGCTGCTGCCATGGTAATGTGATGAGCTGTGGAATCCTGATAGGTCTTGCTTAAAGAAATACTATTAAAATTCAAGATACTGCTGTCTTGAATATGGTGCAGGAAAGAGGCCTCCTGTTCTAACTGTAATGCCACTTCAGTAGTTTGTTGCAAGTTCCATAAAAATTGGAGATTCTGCAGAATTGAACAAGGTTACCTGTGTTATTTATGCAGTGTGTACATACATATAGGTGTCTTCAAGTTGCCTCTTGATTTATGGCAACCCCATGAATTTCATCAAGTTTTCTTAGGCAAGGAACACTCAGCTGATTTTGCCATTTCCTTCCTCTGAAATACAGCCTACAGGAGCTAATCTTTGTTATCTATCTCCCATCCAAGTACTAACCAGAGCTGACCCTACTTAACTTCAAAGATCAGATGGTAGCTAGTACCTTTAGTGTATTTACTAGGGCTGTGCAAAATTATCGTTAGTCCTCGCAAGTCAGATCAAATTCATTTAATTCAAACTGGTCATGTTCTAGAAGCATTCTCTCTTGACGTTTTGCCTACTATAGATGCAGGTGAAATGTCAGGAGAGAATGCTTCTAGAAGTTGGCCATACAGCCCAAACAACCTACAACAACCCAGTAGCAAGTTTCACCCCAATAACTAAAAGTGAGGGAGAAAGGAGCTCCTGAAGTTTCCTCACTTGCACAATTATAATGAAAAAGTAATGAAATTTTGTTACTCTCGTTATAGTATACTAACAATACTTTAGAAACTATTGAATTTCCTGCTTCTTGGCAGGTGGTTGGATTGAATGGCCCATGAGGTCTCTTCCAACTCTATGATTCTATGAAACGCTGGCACACCCTAATTTTTTTTATGAGTTTTGAAACTTTTTTTCATTGATTGCACACGTCTAGTATATACCCATGCCTTTTCATGTTTTACACTTGAGACTGTAGGAGGCTAATTAGGAAGAAGGCTAGTGATTGTCTTTTCTAATTACCTCAAACAGAAAAGCATTTATCTTGCTGAAGGTCGGGTCAACCTCTTCTCTTCTAACTGGAAGAAAAGCTGAAGACATTGTTTCAGCTGTACTAATATTGTGTAGTATTATTCCACACTCACAATGTGTTTCCTATGAAAATTGAGACATAACTGGAAGTCTAACCTCACCCTTCCTGATATAACTATTTGATGTCTACTTAAGAAGCACAAGGGGCAAGGCACTAATGTAATCTGAATTCCGTAAGAATAAAAACTGAATTATTAATTAAATTCATGTATACTTCAATATTTAGCCTCTTCTGCTATGCAGTGGATTTGAAGTATCCATATACATCTTGCTTGCTTCTTTTATGCTTCTAGCCTGGACTTCTGGTAAGCATGTATTGAAAAGTTATGCTGGAAGGTTAATTTAGGAGCCCCCGGTGGCGCAGTGCCGGCAGGACTGAAGACCGACAGGTTGCAAGTTCGAATCCGGGGAGAGGCGGATGAGCTCCCTCTATCAGCTCCAGCTCCTCAAGCGGGGACATGAGAGAAACCTCCCACAAGGATGATAAAAACATCAAATCATCCAGGCGTCCCCTGGGCAACATCATTGCAGACGGCCAATTCTCTCACACCAGGAGTCACTCCTGACACGACAAAAAATAAATAAATAGACATTTGGACTATCATTGTCATTATCATAATTGCTGTAAATAATAACAGTTGCTTGAGAAAAGTGAAAGCTAGTGCTTTCAAGATTCTGAGTTATGCATCCAAAACCCGATGTTGCTGTAGCTGCTGCTGTACATACAGCCCTCCATGGCTACGTTTGTGGCTCTCAACACCTCCAGTCTTGCCAGACCATAGTTTTGGGGTCCCCCCTGAAAAAGAGAATCTACTACCGTATCTCTTGTGGAACCGTCTCTTTCAAAGATTGTCAACCACTACCCATATTTAAAGTCCAGAAGTAGATTTGGTCACTTCAGGTTTGGTTGGTTAAAATATACTGCTTTCTGTTGACCTCAGGGCAGAAAAATGGTTCACAAACATGCTGCATTTGTCAACCCTGTGTATGTTGCGTGCACCCTGGTTGATTTTTATTGAGATGGGGATAGATGTGTCCACTTGTCCTCTGTACATAATCTTTTGTCCAAGGTTGTAGCATTCTGCAATTGATTTAGATGTGTTTTTACTTATTGATTATCATATGTTTAATCCTAATCAAAACTATTTAGTATTTACCTGGTGATGAGGAGTATACATGAGCACAGAGTTAAGTGCATTGTATTAAATGCTTAAGACTTTCGCAGAGTAAGATGGGTAATTACTTGTTAAAAAAAGCGTCTTTATATAATGGAAAGTAAAACAACAGTGCTGCCCTTTTGATCAATATTCATACATTGATGTAATAATAAATACATGACCCAGTGTTTGGTATGTATAGTTCTTGGAAGGATTTTAAAGTGTAACATTTTCCGAGCTGTTTCACCCTTCTCTTCTGTATTGTGGTTGCAATTACTGATGTGTGCAATCTTAACTTGGGAGCATGTCCATTTGAACTAAGTAGAGTTGGTTCTTTAAAGACAGATTGAAGATTGTTTAGTGCTTCATTGTTTATAATAGAAAACTATGCATTTTGTAATGCAAGTGTGTATGTATATATCTAAGCATACACACACCTATGCATATAATATTTGTATTGTACTCTGTATTGTACACACTAGTACTGTAATCTGCTTTAATTTTCTATTATTCTAGTACTGTATTACATTTAAAAAAATAACTATTGTATGTCACAAAATATCCAGCATGCACCACATTCCTGCCCCTTTGAGCAAGAGCTCTACAGTGCTGACACCACCAAATCCAAACTTTGCTGGGTTTGTGCCAACCAATACAGAAGTTATATGTGTATGTGGGTGCATTATCCTTTTTTTCTGGCTATTTTTCTGCTTTGGTTGTCCTTAAAAATGCTTCCTGGAGAGAGAATCAGTATGCCAGCTTCAAAGCTATAAACCTTTTGCCCTGGAGAACAGAGGCAACAGGAGGGCTTTGGCATTGTTTGACTTTGTAAAATGAGGGGACTGCTGTTAGATATCTTTCTCGTGCTACAGACCTCATACAGGGAATAGCTACAGTCATCTAATGACTGCTGGGTCAGCTTTCCCAGGTACCGTAAGATTTGCATTTATATTTTTAAAAATCTGACTTTTAGGTCAATTTATTTCTACCTGCCATATGGTAATGTTGGGGTTGCTTGATACTTATTCTGCAAAACTTGGAGATGTTAGTTTTGTATTACAACTCAGAATTGGTAGCTTTAACCCAAAATTTGTAGCATTTTGAAGATCAGCATTTTTATTAGAGTTTCTATCAGTGGGTCTCCTTGAAGTTTGGACAGGTTGAAAAGATCTCAGCTCAACCAATCTGAAAGTCACTGATTGTACTGCCTTTTCAGGTCTAATTTTATGTAGAAAGGTGTGTAATGGATCTTTTGTCTCAGGAAGTATCATCAGTATTCAGAAACTTCAACTTTAAGGGAACCGTGACTTGGTTTAAAACAACAACACAAAAACTTCAAAATTGCTTCGATTTTCACTTTGAATTTTATGGTTGATGATATGGTTGAAGAGTCCATCATACAAATAATGCTTACTCTTTTACAGGTTTCATTGAGAAGATGTCTTGCAAGGGACTTCTTGGATTTGGACAACAGCTGTTTCGCCGGAAAGTGGTAGACTGCACAAGAGAAGAGAGCCGGCTCTCACGGTGCCTCAACACCTTTGACTTGGTGGCTCTTGGTGTTGGCAGTACACTTGGGGCAGGAGTTTACGTTCTTGCTGGGGCAGTTGCTCGAGAAAACTCAGGACCTGCCATTGTCATCTCCTTTCTGATTGCTGCACTGGCCTCTGTGCTGGCTGGACTTTGCTATGGGGAATTTGGTGCTAGAGTTCCAAAGACAGGATCGGCGTATCTCTATAGTTATGTAACTGTTGGTGAGCTTTGGGCATTCATCACTGGCTGGAACCTGATTCTTTCCTATGTCATTGGTGGGTATTTTCATTCCACTTATTAAGACTTTATATTGGTATCTGTAAAATATCTTTATTTTATGGTCTCATTTTAACAGCAATTTCACTTGTATTGCAATAAGAAATGCACAATATACAGTATCTGAATAGGAAAAAGTGGGTAGCATACTCAGACTTGCATAGTGGATGTTAAAATGAACAATTTAAAAGATTTTGTAAGCCCGCTGAGATGAATAGACATAAGGGTATTCTAGATTTAAAGTTCAGATTTCATTGCTATATGACATTTGAGTATATTAACATGCTATATTTGTAGCATAATTGCTACATCCCAGTTGTGATGAGGAGAAGCTTCAAAAGGGGGAAACGGTTAGTCAGATCTATGTTTAGAACTATGTATGGAATTGTCCACAGGTTCCTTTTTCATTAGGAATGGTTTAGTGATGATTGGACAACTGATACTAGAATTTTTTTTCAGGTTAAGTAGTTAATAAGAGCAAGCAAAGCAAAGTTTATTGATTAGTCCACTGACCGTATCAACATTAAAAACAAAAATAGATACACAAATAAACAATAATCACTATCCTAAGACTCCCATAATAGTGAACTAACATACATTCAAACTTGATAAGTTGTTAATAAGAGTTGTGAGAAATAGCCCAGTCATCATCTGTTTTGATGGATAGAGTACAAACAGATATGTGTATACAACTGCATACACTATTTTAATTTAAAAGATTCTGTGCTGTTTTCTAGAAGTCAGATCTACTTACAAAAATCCTATGTATAATACTGATTACAGTAGTGAAAGGATAATGTCAGGGATGAGACTTGTGCAGCCCTTCAGCTGTTGTCACACAATATCTTCCAACAGCCCTAGCATTTTTAGATAATGAAAAAGCTGGAATCAGTATCCCCATCTGGAGGACTGTACTATTCACATTGCTACAAACACCAAACAGCAAGTTAGGCCATAGCAATGAATTAACAACGAGTAGTTGTCTGTAACATGTTTCAAGGATTAAGTGAAAATGGTGTATCTTGCAACCTTACTGGAAGCAAGTGAAGAAGCGAAGTTTTGAATTTCAAGCAGAAAATGACCCCATGGCTTTTGAGTAATCACCCTAAAAGCCTTGCTGTGGTTCATTTTAAAAGACAAAATTTTCACTTAATTCATGATTGGAGTAGAAAATAGAATCTGGCAAGGACATTATGCATTGTATGTGGAGACATGGTGGCGTAATGGGTTAAACCCTTGTGCCGACTGAACTGCTGCCTGAAGACCTAAAGGTCGGCAGTTCAAATCCGCAAGACAGGGTGAGCTCTGTCTGTCATCTCCTGCTTCCCCTTTGAGGACTTGAGAGAAGCCTCCCATAGGATGGTAACATCCGGCCGTCCCCTCGGCAACATCCTTGCACAAGGCCAATGAAGAGGCCTGCTGTGTATTCTCAGGTCGCTTCTGATATGATAAAAAAAACAAACAAACATTGTGTGCACTTCTTATTATTAACAGATAGCATACAAAATAGATTTTAGGAGGGTATAGATAAAGGACTATCTTCCTCACCTGACAGCTTCCAGATGTTTTCACCTGCAAACCTTATCTGTCTTATCCAACTGTATGAATTATTGGAATTGTAGTCCAAAATATCTGGGATTGAAAAGATTAAAATAGTTAAGTCAACGATTGCATTTAAACAATTGCAAACACTTTTATTTGAGTGAGATATGTGAGAATTTTATCCATGCATGCAATTCATTCACTCTTCTCTTTGCAGTAAGCTGTGGTGAAATCAGTCTCCATAAAAAAAAAAAAAAGAATGCACAGGGAGGGTTTGTTTTAAACAAGCAGGCAAACATTTTAAATGAATACTTATAAAACCTCCAGTCTTAAATTTTGCAGTCCCCACTAGATAGTAACACATAACTCTTTTGAACATATGGGTTAGTACTAAATGCTGAAACTGGTAGCATTTATTCAACTAAACTAGGGGTCCTCAAACTTTTTAAACAGAGGGCCAGGTCACAATCCCTCAAACTGTTTGAGGGCCAGATTAAAATTTGAAGAAAAAAAAAACATGAATGAATTCCTATGCACATTGCACATATCTTATTTGTAGTGCAAGAAAAAAAACCACTTAAAAACAATACAATAATTAAAATGAAGAATATAAATATATAAACTTATTAGTATTTCTATGGGAAGTGTGGGCCTGCTTTTGGCCGATGATATAGGATTGTTGTTGTGTGCTTTCAAGTAATTTCAGACTTAGGTTGACCTTGAGCAAGGGCCGGGTAAATGACCTTGGAGGGCCGTATCCGGCCCACGGGCCTTAGTTTGAGGACTCCTGAACTAAACCATAGAATCATAGTTGGAAGAGACCACCCAGTCCAACCGTGTTCTGCCATGCAAATCAAAGCACTTCCAACAGATGATCCATCCTCTGCTTAAAAACCATGAGAGAAGGAGACTGCACCATACTCAAGGATAGCATATTGCATTACTGAACAGTTTTTACCGTCAGGAAGTTTTTCCTAATGTTTAGGTGAAATCCATTTTCCTGCAATCTGAATCCAATGTTCTGTGTTGTAGTCTCTACATTTCTTTCATTGGTTATATTTACTTTATTATTGTTTGTTGAAAAAAATTATATCTTTGTAGTAAATTATTGTCCTTCTAGGGAAATGTATCTATATTATATGAATTTAGAACCCAGATAGGAAGCTGAATTTAATATGTTGATATTATGTCACCTGCACAGGAACACCTTTAGGGAATTTTGGATCATTATACTAATGGTGGGTTAAAATCTGCTTAAAGCAAGTTTTCCCTTGGCACATAGTGAATGGTACTAGTCTGTGATAATATCTGAACTACTTAGTACAATCGTTCAGCTAACAGCTCTTATTGAAGGGAGCAAAAAATTAGTTCATGCTTTTTTTAAAGGTGTGTGTTGAGAAACAAAGGTTAATGCTTTTGGTGTTTTTTAAATAGTTGGTGAAGCACAGCATGCATTTGTTTTAAGGAGCAAATTTGTTCACAAAAAGAAACAGGAGTGGTAGCATAGGAAGGGTGTGGAGGGAATGTACACTCAACTTCAAAAGCTTCTTATTTATTTACATCTCCTTGGTGTTGATGCACATCATTTTTAGGAATTTCCTTGCTTTGTAGGCATTTATAGATGCTGGAAAAATACAACTCTTGTTGATCTGAAAATGCCCCCCTGCAAGTCATACTACATTGTTTCCTACATCATTTGCTCTGTTAGATCATGTTCTTAAAGTAGGTTTAAAAGATAGATTTTAAACCTACTTTACATTTTGTAAGTGCCCAGAGAGTAGTCACATATGTGGAAGGGTGAAATATCAGTTGTGTTAATTTGATTTTGAACATTAGAATACAATAGTCTCATGGTTAATAGTCCCAAGTTTGCAAAATGGATTAGCTCCCCTTCCACCATCCTTGCATTTGGTTTATAACTGGGCTAGATAAACAACGATAAATTGGGATATGACTTATTTTATTCTGAGCCCAGTTTTTCGTAAGATGAGAAACCATCATATGTCTGTGCTAGAGCTAGGGCTGTGGATTGGCATTGTATGCCATCTACCAAAGATGTACCTTTGCAAGAGACCAAATTGTAAACTCCTTTTTCCCTAGCCTCCTAATTCTGTTGCTTCTCTTTGCTCCTGCTGCCTGTTCACCTGCTTATCTGTATAAACACTGAGATTAATGAGTTGTAGCAGGATTTTCCACCTGCCCTGTAGTCACTTTTTTAGTTTTGTGGATTAGGTTTATAGCTCTGAAAAATGCTGCACTGTAGCTTTCATGGTGTAGAAGAGACCTCTGTTTTGCTGACCTTAAAGAAGCAGCAAACTTGGTGACTGGAAGGGAACATTCAATTTTTCCTGCATTTGATTAAAATCTATTATTTAAATGATTTTAGATTCATAATCATTGTGTACCAAGAATGTATAAATTTAGCAATTACTTTACTTAATTGTCTGTTTGCAACATTTCCATCATGCAAGAATTTGTCATCTTCAAACACGAGGTAATAACCATGCTACAGTTAGCTCCTAGATACAAAACAAACAAACAAACAAAAAAAACCTGTCGTTGCCAGCCCATCTTTTTACCACAGTCCATTGAATTTATGGGAGTAACTTGAACCCACATGAGTAGAGCAGCGTTCCTGAAGCCATAAAGCCAATAATCTGGACAGGTGTAACGGAGGGGAAAATAGAAACCCGAGAAAAAGAGACCTGGTCAGTCCTGTCCACTTGCAATTTTGTGCAACCTGTTTTTCTTGGTTGTCCTCTCTCCAGCAATAAAAAAAGTTTCTTATAGACCTGAGACAACTTTCTGTAGCATTAGCAAATCTATCCATATGGTTATATAGCAACTAGGCAGACTTCTCATATTGACTTGGCAGGGGGTTAGAAACTGGATTGGCCCACAAGGTCTCTTCCAACTCTGTGATTCTATGACTTTGCCGCCTTGTTGCTACATCTAACCGTGCTCCTATAACGTTTGAAATTGAGTTAACCATATTTGAGTGGAGGAATATTACTTGCTCATTGAGGAGCTAAAGCATTTGTTTCGCATCGTGTTTGGGATTTCTGATCTAACTATTCCTCTGGGTCATACCCCTGAATTTATTATTTGCTACCACCTCTAAATTTTTGTTAGCTTCTTCCTGGCTTATTGTAAAGGTTGTTTCTTAAGTAATGAATCTATCCCTATGCCATCTCAGCCTCTGTATATCAATGCAGAATCCTTAAAGGGATCAATACCATATGGAGATTCAAGACATAAAGAAGACATATTTTTAAAATCAAGGGACATGAGGGCCAACATAATATTTAGTTTGTATTGATATTAACGTAAAGCGGATACTATGCATGATTTCAAGCTAGTTGAAATCCACTTAGATCTTTAGGTGACAGAAAGATAAAATTTACTGTAGGTGAGGCAAGTTCATTTAGTCCTTCAAAGGGGATGATAGAAAAAGTGGTAAATTTCTGAACTGGCAATCAATCATCATCCTAAAATGGTCTTTGTAAGACATTAATTTAGAATCAGCTGATATTGAAAAGATTCCCTTGATATGGAAGGCAGTCAAGATATAATTTGCTTAGGATTTATGGCTATAAAAGAGTCTCAAAATCATGTTCCTTTAGTTCTCCAGCTGGCATGTGCATTTAGCATTTATGATCACTGAATAAAGTGGAAGGCAAATGGATGGAAAGGAAAGTTCTTTACGTTTGGTTGAACCACTGAAATAGATCTTACTGGGCAAGGAGACAATTTCTTTGAATTGCATATTCTCTGAAATTGGCACTAAACAGAAGAACGCGACTATCTTGTTCTTATGGCAACTATAGTTGGGCTGGATTTATATGTAATGTTTTTGTTGAGAATGTTTTTTCTTAGAACTGTAACTTTAGCAACTACCTGAAGATCAACACTGATATGGAAAAGAACTGTTTAATGCATCCTATTACACTTGCATCTTTCTCTTTAAAATGTAGCCGATGTTCAACCATACTAAAAAGGCTTTAACAGTTGTCAGTTTGGAGTGAGAAGCATGTTGAAATTTTGATAAGACTGAATGAATTGGTGATAGACTTGTGTGTATGCATGTGTGAGTTGCAATCAGTGTGATGGACTGTGAGGTAATGCTTTTTAATGTGGGGCAGTTTTAGAAAGTGAGCATTTTGCTTACAGAAATTCATATGTACAGTGCCACTAAGGATACCTAAGGGGAATAACATCTTACACTGTATATTGTGTAATTTTGTTTCAGTTGGAAGCACACGAAGGAGTATCTTAACAGTGTGAATGGATGCAGTATATGATTCCACTAACTTCTTGGTCTATTGCCACTCCCCTCTCTTAGTATTCCCAGATAGGTTCGGCTATTCTGATTGATTATTTTGTCTGGGGATAATGAGAGTTACAGTTTAATACATCTGGAGTACTAGGTGAGGACATATTGGTCTGCCATTTGAATAGTTCCTATGTAGCGCTCTGGAACTTTGGGCAGCCGTGGACACTCTCCAAATCCTCCCAACCTCTGTTAAGATAATGAACAAGGAACTTGCCAGTATGTTACTTGTGTAACTGTGTCTTTACATAATTTATATATCTCACACTGAAGTGATGAATAAAGATGGTGTATAAATAAAAATAATGAATAGTCTCAATTCTTCCAATTCTCTTTGTCAGGAACATCAAGTGTCGCGAGAGCATGGAGTGCAACGTTTGATGAACTAATCGGCAGGCATATCGAGAAGTTCTTTCAACAGTACATGTCTATGAATGCTCCTGGCGTGCTGGCAAAATACCCAGATGTCTTTTCTGTTGTCATTATCCTAATATTGACAGGTGAGGGATAAATAACAACAACAACAACTTTATATCCTGCCACCATCTCCCCAAAGGGACTCAGGGCAGCTTACAAGCGAGACCAAGCCCATTAATGACAAGTTAACCAATGAAACATACCTAAGAACAAAGTGAACATATAACAACTAATTAAACAATTCAAGCAATAAAGTATAAAACATTATTTCAGTAGGTCAAAAACCAATCTTTATAACCAGATCCAGACTATAATTTGCAGGGCTGGGGAAAAGTGCTGAGTTCCACCTGGCAGTTAACTAGGTCTGGGCAATCATAGAGAGGCCTAATCAGAATGAAAAAAAGGCTGGTTTAGGAAAGGTTTTTTGAAATTGATAATTAATTGCCCTTATGTAGTTTTATTGTTGTCTTTTTTACTAGGGTAAAATACCCTCATTTATTGTAGCCTTGTTTTTAAAACTCTTGTTTACTGAAGATGTCAGGTTTGACGTAACAGCTGCAGAATGAGATCTGTTGTCAGCCACTTCATGCTTGTAGTTGCCAAAAATGGGCAGGGAGCAACAATTCTGCTCTCTCCCAACACAGAGTACTAAAGGAAATTGGATGGAGGGGGGTGTCAGGCTGAAAATCTTTGAATGTTGAAGAATGTGGATTTGTTGCTCTAACCTTTGCCTGTATATAATTGGCCAATTCATATAGTGTCCTAGGTGGGAGGAGGCTGGGGTTGAAAGGACAGAACTGCCACCATGCTGGTAGATGGCTGTTGTTTTTAGAAGAATCAGAATGTTAACCAAAATTAACATCTTCAGGGAGTGTATAATTCATTTTCAAGGAGGAAAAAGAAACAAGATCAGTCACCGAAGCCGCTTGTAAAATGTACTGAATTTTGAAACCAAGGGTTATTTGATATTTTTTCTGGTGTATTTTGGCATTTGCCAAACTGGTCTTGTGAATAATTTCAAGACAAATCAGAGTCATAGGTTTTCTTTAGCCAAGGAGTACAGGCAACAATAATTAATCTGCTTTACAGCAACCCTTGATTATTATTATTATTTATTATTTACCACATTTGTATACTGCCTTTCTCAGCCTGAAGGCAACTCAGGGTGGTTCACAGTTGGCAACAATTCGATGTCTCCACAATTATAAAATACAATTAAAACAGATTATAAATACAATTAAAACATTTAGCATATAATATAAAACCATATAAAGATATAAAAACAAAGCTTCTGCAAGGAAAAAAATTGCCTCAAATGTTCTTATAAGTTCTCTTTAATTGAAAATCATGTTTTGAAAATGCCCCCAAGTTTCAGGAGTGTCCTGTTGTATTGTTTGTGATAGTAGAAAGGGAACTGGAAGTTTCACTGCATGTTTGGAGTTTTGCATGTCACCTTCTTCTTCATGACTGTAGAGTTGGGATGGCCTGGGTCCCAGAGGAGGCATCTTCTAGCTACCACAATACCATGTTTTGTGATAGAGCAGTAGCAGCAAAGCTACTTCTTATTTTAGAATTACTTCTGCAGTGCTTTTCAAGTTGCATTTTTTCTTTAAGAACAAAATGCAGAGGGAGTATATGCCTTCAGTGAAAAGAAAAATGTCCTTGTAAGAATTGACTAATATATCAATTTAATGCAGGTTGTTTCTAGTTTATAATATTAAAAATGTGTTTATGGATTGGCTGTACAAGCAAAACATGCCTTTGTTTATATTAGTTTCATATGTGTCCAAAATATTTTCTGATTCTCTTTTCTCCTTCATGTCCCTCTATGAAGTTTTATGACAAAAGGGACACAAACTACTTGAGAACCCTCTATGGAATCTGTGGTTGTGTAGCATAATTCAGAATACATTTTAAGATAAATCAGACAAGCTACTCGGTCATTTTCAGTTACAAAATCTCATCATAATTCAGTGAGTTTTTATTGCAGCTTGCATAACTTACTTTTTGCATCTCAGCTTCTAGCATGGGGGATTTGATGAGCCGATTTCTGGTTTTTTGGGGGGTTTTTTGAAGTCAATTTTTCCTCATATCTGATGTCTTTCTTCTTTTACTGACTGAGAATGTTTTTCAAGTTTTGTTCCTTTGGTGATTTCACGCACATTGTTACTGCAGAATGCAGCTACTTACAAAATGCAGAAGCAGAATCATAATAGTCAAACCATGATAACTTATAACTTCTGAATCTGTCCTTTGGGTAACTTGATGTGCTGACCATGGGTAGATATAGATAAAGGCAAACAGATCAGCTACACAGCAACTTGTGTCAGTGGAAAGGTGGTGGTGATGATACTACTCTTTCCCAAAACAAAATACCTTGTACTTACTTCATGCTGCAGATAATAAACAATTCTAATTATCCACTATACTTTTTGCAGGACTTCTAACGTTTGGTGTGAAAGAATCTGCAGTAGTTAACAAAGTGTTCACCTGCATCAACGTTCTTGTCTTGGGCTTTGTGATGGTGTCAGGTTTTGTGAAGGGATCCATAAAAAATTGGCAGCAACCAGAAAATATCTCACTTCAATACAAGTATGTGTCAGTTTATTTTGCTTAAAAGAATATATGTGCATGTATAGGATTGTGTACACACGTGTATTTAATAGAATATAAGGTGACCCATGTGTAATATAGCCTCTAGCAATTTACAGGGTAGCCATGGCTTGTATGTACTGATACCTCTGCATGGATTGGGAATATGTAAGTAGCACTATTTTCATGATGTTTGCAACATTATTTGAATCTCCATTACTCTAGGATCTCCAATCACCTTTGGATTCTGGTCGTATAGGTCGGACTAATAAATACATGTAGATTTTGTATAAGCAGCCACTCCACTGCTATTCAGACTAGTGAATAATCCACTCCTAAAACCATCATGTTGAAGCAGTCTCTTATGTTAAATGGCCATTAATTTGACTTCAGTTTTATCAACATCATTCAGTACACATTTATTTGTTCATTTTTCTAAACTTTATTTTTATCCCACCTTTCTCCGTCCGTAAGGAGTTAAAGAGAATAATAATGAATATAATACTAAAATGAAACATGGTGTAGTGAGTTCTTTAGATGTGAGGTTAGAAAAGTTATTCTTTAAAAAAAAATTACAGCTGGCCAAGATGACTGTTGGATTATGTAGGCTGTATTCTAACAAATAACTTCCTAGTTTTGATTAAAATTTGATTGTATGATATAACATAATTTTTCTCAGTGCCAATAAAAGCCACCACTCTTATTTTGGGAAGTTGCTTGTATTCTATGAAGGTGAAAATGTGGTATGCTATGAAGGGGGAAATGTCAGTGCTGAATCTGTGCAATATTTCCAGTAAGAGAGAACGCCTCCCTTACCCACCTCCTAAGCAACATTGTGAGGGTTTTTCCAGCCTTGCAATCCACACAGAGGGCCTTTTGTCTATCCTTGCTCAGGATGTCGGCCACTGGCCTGCTTTCTATGATCACACCTTCTCTGAGCTTTGAGTGGAATTGGACCTGATCTCAAGAGATCAGGTTCTTTTTTAAATAAACTATTTTCTCCAGTCTTTTCCTTTAACAGAAGACCTGGGAGGGTGGCATTACTTTTTTCGCCTACAACAGCTATTATAGAAAATCTGTAGACGAATGGTCTGACTCAGTAAAAGAAGCTTCCTATACTACTACTATTCTTTTAATGGGACTTATATAATTTCTCAGCACTTTCTTTCCTGTTGGGTTTATGTACATAGCTTCAGAAACAGCACAAGGAAAGAATTAGGCCCATAATTAGTACAGGCTTCTGTGTTATGGTAGATATGAAGTGCACTTTAAGTTACCAGTCTTGTGTCTGTTGTGGTGTCATGGATGTTTTTCTGGTTATTTTTGGAGAACTGCCTTAAATGTTAGTGCTGTACTGTTATCTTAATAACTGATATAAAGAAGCATTTATGTCGCTACCATGGCATATATGATTAGCACTGTTTTTCTAGGGTTTCAGATAGTGTTTTTAAGCAGGATGGATACTAGGATTTGGATGCAGTGCATGTCCTCTATCACTGAGCTCTGACCATGTCTCTAAAAATAGAACCAAGGGGAAGAAAAACCACTGAGTTTGGTCATGTGTAGGTGTTGCTACTGACACTTTAGTTCAGGCATGGGTGAACTTTTTTTTGCCTTGGGGCTGCATTGTGGGTTTGGCCAGGAGGACCAGGAGGGAGGGTGGCCAGGCACACACTAAGTGGGATGGCCCCAGGAGAGAAAAAGCCTGGGAGAGAGCGGGGCCTGGAGGGGGTGGAGGAGGGCCCGGGTCATCTTCAGGTTGTCCTCCTGGCATAAGGACGGGGCAGCTAACCCCATCTTTATGCCAGGAGGAAAACAAGACATGCGGTGATTGCCCCAATCATCCTCCCCAATACTCTTTCCTCGCTCTTCGGGCTGTCCTGTCAGTATTATGCTGGCAGGAGGGCAAAACAGACAACGTCTAAGAGCACTCTGGAGGGCTCTCAACCACTGCATGCCTTCCTCGAGCCGTCCTCCTGGCATAAGGACAGGACTGCTCACGCTGTTCTTATGCCAGGAGGAGGGAGAGACACGATGGCTGAGAGCTCTCCAGAGGGCTCTCAGCTGCAGCTTGCCTTCCTCCCCCGTTTTTTCTGCATAAGGATGCGGTGAGCCACTGCGTCCTTATGCTGAGAGAACAGGGAAAATATGCAGGGCCTGAGGTAAGCGCCCAGGGGGCTGCTTCCGGCCCCTGGGCCTTAGTTTGCCCATGCCTGCTCCACTTCCTATATTTTACTACATCTTTTACTGATAGCTTGGACATCTATGTCTAAATGCACTCTCTTGCTCCTGCTACAACTCCATACTTAAACTTATCTATACAGTATTTGGGGGGAAAAAAAGAATAGAAGAGGAAGGTGGACATTGAAAAAGACAGAATTTCCAGAGATACAGTCTCTTGGAGCAAAAAAAAAAAAGAAAAGAAAAGAAAAAAAGGGGGGTGTCTTGTGACACTTTGAATCTGACTGTTCATTTTAGGTGCAACAAGAACTGATATTGTTTTTGCAGGTTAGTCTTGTTTAACATGAACAATTTGTATCTCACATGGTCTGTGTAGCATGAAATTAAGGAACTGCACCATTAAGTAAGAAATGAAGAAGCTCACAAAAACTTTCAGCCCAATTGACTCAAATTGCACTGGCTGATTTATGTGATTACTTTGGATCTGCTTGTGAAGATGTTGGCAGGCTGAAATTCTTAGGACATTTTCAGTACAAAGTCATGATCCAAGCTAAGGCCTTCTGAAACTTCTGAAACTTGTATCTTTTTGGTTTAGGTATACTGCTGTTTGTAGACTTCGGCTTTAGGTGTTGCAACTCCTTATCCCTCGGCCAATAATGCCTCTAGAAAACCAGACCGTGGTTATAGGCTTATAATTTTCTTTTTAAAGTTCAAAGCTGTGTTTCATTTAATAACAAAGGACTAAAAAGCATTTCAAGACATCTAACATTTTGTTACTTCCTAAATGAAGCTAAGGTATTTCAACAATAAAAATAGATTAAAGGATTGTGTTTCTAAACTGTATCTGTTTTATTTGAGCAATCTCATTTATATGTATGCTTAAAATGTTATAGCCTTTGTGCTATGGTATTCTCAAATCTACAGATTTTTTTGGTGGAGTTCAAAATGTTTGGGTACACATTTGAGCAGTGCCTTACATTGCAATCCTATACCTGTTTATGGGGGAGCAGATTTGGAAATATCACTCAGAATAACAGCTAATTGTTTCTCAGATTAATGCAATATGTTTGCTTACAAATTTGGTTTTACTTTTTGAGAAAGAAAACAAAAAGTGATCTCAACTACTGAATACTCTCCAAAGTAATATTTCTGAAATAAGTAAACCGAACTCAGTATTTTTTTAAAATCGAATTTGAATGTGGTTCTTATAACTAAAGATAACAACATTGTCTTTTGTTACTTAAACAGAATGAAAACTGAGTATTTTAAAGGCATCTCTTTCAAGCTGTGTATGGAGGAACAAGGTGTATATCAGTAATTGCCGCATAGAAATGTATAAGATTGCACTGGCAAGTAGTCATGTGCATTCAGGACTTACCTTGATCCATTTCGTGTCCCAGCTTTCGATGGGGCCCCTGATCCATTTTTGTCTGAGCCTCCTGAAATCAGGAGGCCAGATATTTGTTTTTTGTTTTTGGGGCCGAAAGATCCGTTTTCTTTTGGCCCATTATTGGGAGGGGGGCTTCTACTGCAAGTGGCAAGTAAGGAGCACGTAGGCAGGAAAGCCTGCACCTAAACTGCCCAGGCCTAAGGGTGCAGTTTTTGGGCCTACGCACCTGGGCTTCTCAGGGCCAGCATCGGGCAAGGACTGTTCCTTACTCGGCTGCAGGCCCTGAGAGACCCGGGTGTGTAGGTCCAAAGCTGTCGGCCTGGGTGGTTTGGGCCTATGGGTGCAGGCTTTCCGGCCTATGTGCTCCTTACTTGGTGCTCGCCTGCATGCCCAGCCAGGCCCCACGCAATCCATCCAAAAAGCTGGACGGCCTGCCTGCCTTTCATATCGATTGCATTTTTGTTTCAGAAGGGACCTTTCCGTTTTGTGCTATCCGAATGGACGGAACGAAAAGGAAACATGAATGAAACGAATGGAACAAATTTCAGGCCCATGACTACTGGCAAGTTTTTTCTAACAGCCAATCCCTCCAGGAAATTCTGGGAAACAGAGTGAGGGGGTTCATGATCTTGGCATCCCCACTAAACTGATTCTCAGAATTCTGTGAAAGACGTTAAGGTAGTGAAACAGATATCACGACCATGAGTCCCATGGATGAAATACTCCCACTTGAATGTATCACTGTGTTACAAAATACTGTATGTTCATTGATTTGGCTAGTTTTGTTAAACAGAATAACATCTGATATCTTGCTACTGTTTTTCCAGTGGCACACAGGAACAGTATGGTGTTGGTGGGTTTATGCCCTTTGGCTTCTCTGGAGTCCTCTCAGGAGCAGCAACATGCTTTTATGCATTTGTAGGATTTGACTGCATTGCCACCACAGGTAAGTTCATAGGTACCAAATGCTGTTCTGTTCTAAAATCTGCCCACCAGTGGGCAGCCTTTGTATGCTACTGATCATGGAGAAAATTGGTTAATGGAGTCAGGGAATAGGTACTAAAACAAAATCCCAGCACTCTTCCTGCCCCTTTTCCATTAGCACTACACTTTGTTGGCATCAGTGATTGGTAACATCTCTGCAGAAGTGCAGATGACAATGAAAAGTTTTTTCGTTGAATGTCTAGTTTCTGAATAATTGCTCTTCTTGACTAAATGATGATACATTTACACACTAGAGCAAATTAATAGTGCTTCAGAGCCCTTTTAACAATCCTGAGTGAAGGTGACAAGTTCTCTTAATGAGATAATTTATGTAAAGAACAACCACTCCTGCTTCAAATCACTTAGTGCTTGGGAAGAGAACAATCTCTGCATTTCTATTGTTTCAGTTTGTGAAATAGACAAACACTTGATAGGTAGAAGCAGTATGTTTTAAAATATGTTGGCTAGTAAAAAGTATAAAAAATGTTGGTGCCCTATTTGTAATAACTGCAGTACTGAAATCCTTTCTCAATTTATCTTGTTGATCAAGATAAATAAAGATATATTTCACTGGGATAGAAGTTCATTTACTTAAAAAAATACAGACAGTCCCCAGGTTACAAACAAGATAGCTTCTTTAGGTTTGTTCTTAAGTTGAATTTGTATGTAAGTTGGAACAGGTACATTTTTAAACTAACTCCAACCAAATATAGGGGAAGTGTGAACACTCCTGTGGCATTTGTTTTGCTTTCTGTGTCACTGTTCAGAAGATTCATCTTACTTGTGTCCCTGTGATCATTCAAAAAATTGGCTTGTTGTGGAAACAAGGGTTGATGAGAAAACTTTAGTGAAGACACCTTTTCCCCCTGATAACTCTTTAAGGAGTGAATTTCCCTTTATAGGGGTAGATTTCCCCTCATTTTCTGTTTTCTCACCCCCGTTCTTAACTGTGAGTCATTTGTGAGTCAGATGTTTGTAACTCAGGGACTGCCTGTATGCTGTTTGATGAACTGATATTGAACCAAAGTGTTAGTGAGCAATTTCTGGCTTTTGCATCAGTCAACATAGTTACTGTAAGAGGGTGTTGAGAGGTGCAATCTAATATCTACACAACTGTAATTTTCCTGTACTGAATTTGAGAAACCATTTTCAGATATGGTAACTGTCATGGCACATATCATAGCTATTAACATGATGTGTAAATGTAATTAGGAACCATGTGTATTATTATTATTATTATTATTATTATTATTATTATTGCTGCCCCACTTTATCTCCCCAAAAGGGACTCAAAGCAGCTTGACATAAAAGCATTAGTATACAATTTATATAAATAAAAACGTAATGTTCGTTTGTGGGATTAACAGAACTCAAAAATCATTGGACGAAATGACCACATTTGGACACAATACACGTATCAGGCCAACAAGTGACCATCACTCATAAAACCATTGAAAAACATAGTAGAAGAGACTTAAAAAGCCAAAAAACAAAAAATACATTACAACACATGCACAAAACCACACACACACATGTATGCAAGCATACCAATACACAAATATGTACAGAAATATATCCACAGTAATGCGTTGCAGGGGATGGCTAGTTTAAAATATGCAAATATACAAATATTGAAATACAATTAAACACAAACAGCACTAAAAATCACAGTTAAAATCCATTAAAATATATGGTTCTAGAGTTGCGGGGCAACCGCTGAGAAGGCAACCACCTTATATACAGTAGCTGTACACTATTCACTTTGTTGTTAATGTTAACCATATTTAGATCACATTCTGTTGATTAGATTCTCTTTTCTTCCTATATTTTGAGGTATTAGGATCTTGATGACACCAGAAATATATGGAATATCCTTTACTAGCAAGACTTTATTTTCAAGATTTACGTTGCAGAAAGTTATTTTGCCTTGGTTTTTTTAAAAGTCGTATCTCAACAGAAATTAATGGCAACAAAAAAGTGGGAGAAAATGTCTTCCAAGCGACTCAAACTATTTCATTGCAATAATACATTTGAGAGTGAAACGATCGATGACCAACTTTTAAACAGATTACAATTGAATGCTGTTGCAGCCTTCCTTGAGTGTAATGAAGGAAATAGGATTAAGTTCCCTTGCTCGCATTACAGCACTGGAGGAAAATATCTCTTGGCATTTTGCTGTTGGAAAGGAAACAATTACCCTATTCATTATTTGTGTTTTGTAATCATATGTTTTTGTGTTGCATTCTTTTTTGTAGGTGAGGAAGTAAAAAATCCACAGAAAGCCATTCCAATAGGGATTGTGGCATCACTTCTGATCTGCTTTGTTGCATACTTTGGCGTATCGGCTGCTCTTACTCTTATGATGCCTTACTACCTGCTGGACAAAAATAGCCCATTGCCAGTTGCTTTTAAGCATGTGGGGTGGGAAGGTGCAAACTATGCAGTGGCTGTTGGCTCTCTTTGCGCCCTTTCTACAAGGTAAGGTACTCTGGCTTCCTTTGTACTTTCTCAGTAAAGGTTTGCATTGCACTTTTCATGTTTTAAAATATGGATACCAGAAGGCAAAGTGGCCTAATGATATTTGATTGTGTTTGCTCTCAGAATTAATATTTGGGAATGGGAATGGGAAGAGAGAAGAGTGGGTGATTTTTTAAAAAATCCCTTCCATTTTAGGGGAAAATATGTAGTTCACTGATAGAGCATGTGCCTTGCATGTGAAAGATCCCAGGTTCAACACCTGCTATCTCCAGTAGAGCTGGAGAAAGAACACCTATCTAAAATCCTGGGTTAATTGTTACCTATGAGTACACAGCACAGCCAAGTCCTCCAGTCATCATGGGCTCTGTGATTGGTGTTCGATTTATCTGGAGAGCACTGGGATGGGAAGAACTGCTGAATAGAAGACCTATGGTCTTCTGAACTATAGATGGGAACACCTACTGAATAGAAGGCCTGTGGTTTGATTGGTAGAAGGTGTTTTCTCAAGTTGTACAGCAGACAGATGGCAGGTGTCTCAAGCCTGGTTAATTTCCATGTATCAGTTTGCACCTTGTGAATACTATTTAAATTCAGAAGCTTTACGTTCCTGTTTTGCCAGCTCTTCTGAGAAGAGGATGTGAAATTTGCACAGGTTTTTTTGGAATTCTAGCTTTAATTGTTAGGAAGGAGAAACATCTATTTCTCACAATACCAGAATGGCAAATTTTTGTATTATCTTTCTCCCTTAATTTCTGATTAATGACTCTTGTCTGCTTTCTATAATGATATTGGTTGTGTTTATTTTATAATGAAAATATGTTTTTGGAAATTATATTACCAGTGGAGACTTTATTGTTTTTTGTGGGGAAAGGTTTTTAGTTTTGATCTCATTCATGAGTTTTTCTATACAAGATGTGTACTATGCATAGCTTATCCTTTCCTTTCTTTCTAGTCTACTTGGATCCATGTTTCCAATGCCACGAGTTATTTATGCAATGGCGGAAGATGGGCTGCTCTTCAGGTTTTTGGCTCGTGTTAATGAGAGGACAAAGACTCCAATGATAGCAACAATAACTTCAGGTGCTGTTGCAGGTGAGATGTAGTGACTAGCTCCATCTCTTGTACAAAGTGTATGTTAGTAAAAGGTTTGGGGAATCTTACATCCTGGTTTGAAAATAATCTGAACACTGTGCCTTTGTATTGTTGAAGAAATTGAAAGAGAGAAATCTCTTTAAGCATTTAACCTGTGCAAGTTACGTGATTGGCTTTGTCTAATACAAAACAGATTGGCTTTGTCTAGTACAAAATCTGACAGAACAGGAAGAGTTCTGGGGGTATCTGGTTTTTATTTTTGCTTTTAAAAAGCAGTCTTTTCTTTTTGGTGGAGAAAACATAGATTAAAAATAGGGTTTACTAGAATTGCACAATACTAGAAGTTCTTTTGCCCAGTGCATGGTGGGCCAAGTTTCTATTGGAAGTGACATATTGGTCTTTTGCCCATTCACCAAGTGATGTTGTCATCATCAAGTATTGGTTGTAACTGCTATGGGTTCCACTGGTACCAGATTGGCTAGCAAAATTGGTATCAATTGCAGTGACTTTCTGGTGAGAGAGAGTGCCAGACTCTGCTCCTCTGTACTGTCCAGACTCTTTCCCTTCTAGAAAAGTGGAAGAAGGTGCAGGGATGTTTCTAAATTTCAGTACTTTTACTTTGCTTACATGCCACATACAGCCCTTGAACTGCAGGTTCAATGGGATTTTGGCCTGCATAAATAGGAGTATAGTGTCTAGATCCAGGGATGTCATTCTATCCCTCTATTCTGCCTTGGTCAAATTACACGTGGAATACTGTGTCCAAGCAACTTAAGGGAGATGTTGAACAAGCTAGAATGTGTCCAGAGGAGGGTGACTAAAATGACCAAGGATCTGGAGAACAAGCCTATGAGAAGCGTCTTAAAGAGCTGGGCATGTTTAGTTGGCAGAAGTGAAGGCTAAGAGAAAACATGATGGTCATGTATAAATATGTGAGGGGAAGCCATAGGAAGGAGAGAGCAAGCTTTTTTTCTGCTGCCCTGGAGACTAGGATGCAGAACAATGGCTTCAAATTACAGAAGAGGAGATTCCATCTGAACATTAAGAAAAACTTCCTAACTGTGAGAGCCGGAGTGTGGTGGAGGCTTTTTCTTTGGAGGCTTTTAAATAGGCTGGATGGCCATCTGTTGGGGGTACTTTGGATGCTATTTTCCTGATTCTTGGCAGGGGGTTGGACTGGATGGCCCATTAAGTCTCTTCAGCTCTATGATTGTATGGTTGATCTCCCTTGGCTTAGGGAAACTGAAATATTCTGTAGTATTTCCTTTTCCTCCCTATCATACTTGGCTCTTTCTTGTTGCCTATTCATATGTTAGCTCTGCTCCTGACTTGAAAGCACAACTGGTCTGGTCCTCCTATAATGTTGACTCATACTCTTCCCATCAAGGTGTGCCCAGCTCATCAATAATAAAATAACTCTTTGCTAAATCAGCAATTCCAATAAGCCTAGTGCTGTGATACTCAGAATGTTTGTTAGCTATTCTTCAAACAAAAGTTTTACAAATTGAAATATGATTGTATGTGATTGCATTTTATTTTAGAATTAATACAGATTTTCTGTCTTCTAAAAATGGGCAGGTCTAAAACAAAGACACACAGAATTCCTCTCAACTATTTTGTCAGTCTTTATTCTGCCAAAAAGAGCAATTAAAGCAGTTTTGTCACTGGGGCTGACAGAAGCAGAAATGTGAATGAGGATTCAGCTATAACAGTTAAGCAGTGTTCAGTATGATAAAAAAAAATCTCTTTCCACTTAGCCATGTTTTTCTCTCCCTCCAGCTGTTATGGCTTTTCTCTTGGATCTCAAGGATCTTGTGGATCTGATGTCCATTGGAACACTCCTGGCTTACTCCTTGGTGGCTGCCTGTGTGTTAGTATTGAGGTATGAACAACTATTTTGTGTTACATTGGAGAAGAAAATAGTGTTTGAATATTCTGGTTGTTCTCAACTGCTTCTTCCAGAAATGTGTCCTTTTTGTTAGTATCAAAAACTACTCAGCATTTGGGAATGCTGAGTAGTTTTTGGTCCAGAAAGGTAGGATGATGTTTGATCAGCTTTCCTTTTGGGGCTGATGATGCTCAGAAGGAGCCTTCATTGTGGCTACAAGTTTTGCAATGGCACTCAGTGTTTTTTGTTTCATTTTCTCTTAGGTATCAGCCTGAACAGCCTAACTTGGCATACCAGATGGCTAGTACAAATGATGAAGTAGATAATAACGAATCTGTCAGCACAAGTGAATCTCAGACTGGGTTTCTACCTGAAGAAGAGGAGAAGTATTCCTTAAAAGCTGTTGTCTTCCCTCAAAATACTGATCCTTCCAAACTCTCCGGGTTTATAGTGAATGTTTCTTCCTGCATTATAGGTAAGAGCTGCACCCTGGCCTATTAATTCCATGGGAGTAGTGGCTGTTAAATTGTGGAGTTTTTTTCTGGTACATTGGATGTGTATGGAATGATTCCTTCTTATACCTTTTTGTGTATCAGAACAAGTAAAATTTGTCTTATATTGTAAGTGACATATGGCTGCCTCTGCCTTTTTAAAAATCCCAAGTCCCCTCCCATGAAATTAAGTATTGTAGTTTGTTTAATATTGGGGCAAGTAACTTTTGGTATTTCTTTTAGAGTTTAGTTTTCCATAGGATTTTCTGTTGGACCTATCTTGGTCTAATGGTAATTAACTCATATTTTGACTCTCAGCTAGCTCTAAATTATACCTGGATTGCTTCAAGTAAGAGTCGTTTAGCTCCCTCCATTTTTTTTTTTAGTGGGGAGGGCGACTGTAAACAAGCCTCCATGTAGAAACTGCCATCCACACCAGCATGTAGAAGTCTATAGCTTTCAATTGCTATATGAAAGCATAGCATTACATTGGTCAATGGACTTGCAATCACTGTGGACGAGACATGAAAGAATAGGCGTACTCCAGAACATTTGTGTTTAGTATTTTGGAGGATGAAAACTGTATGGCATCATAAATTCTGAGTTAAATCTGATATTCGTCATTAAGGGTGTAATTAATTGGTCATGATAATCTCTCCATTTTTCTTCCTTTTGGATCTCCCATCCCCTCCCCAATTTCTCCCAGACATAACTTGAGAGAGCCTTCTATGCACACCTGTTTGCCATTTAATTTTTTGGGGATGGGGTATTTCATGTTTATGAGGCTTCATGCATGGAGAAGGCATGCAGTTGTGCCTAGAGAAATCCTTCATCTCTGTGGATTAACTTTAGAATAATATTGGATGTATTAATAACCTATAAGTTAACACAGCAGGTCAACACTGAGGAACAGAGATAGGAATCTGTTTCATTGAAAACAGTTAAACATTTAAAATAATTAATTTATTGTATTGAAATAACACTAATTTTAAATGCTATAAAAACATTTTAAAACATAACAATAAGGATAAAAATATAGCACACACACACCCATTAAAAGCCCTATCTGCATAACCAGTTAATCTAAAGGTTAGTTGAAATACAGATCTTACCTTCCTTGAGAAGGAAAACAGTGCAGAGTGGGGGCAATCTGGTCTATCGTGGAGCAGCTACCAGGAAGTACTATGACAGTGGTGGACTGAGACAAAGCTCTCACGTTAGGATCTTAAAACTTTGGCAAGTTTATGTGGGGAGCTGTGGTCTTTCAGATCGTCTGGACTTAAGTGATGCAGGACAAAACTATGATTGTACCAACTGCACCAGCATATTTTGTATTCTGTGTTAATATTGAGTCAGTCTTTCTCTCTCTGATTCCTTTCAAATGTATTAGATATAGTTCCATAATCCCCTTTTACCTTCCTGGCTAAGGATGGTATTGAACAATGTTTCTCAAACTGTGCTCCTCCAAATGTTATGGATTTCAGCTCCCACGATTCCTAACAACTGATAAGCTATCCGAGAATTCTGGGAGCTGAAGTTTATTTATTTATTTATTACAGTTGCTTATACCCCGCCCTTCTCACCCGGGGGGACTCAGGGCGGCTTACACAAACAAGGCACAATTCAATGCCTGTATTACAAAAACATAACATCAAAAACATAACATCAATAACAACAATAATTATAACACTGATAACAATTAACGTAAACAATCAATATTATCGGCAGGAATAGCCATAAACCCGTAAAAACGATTAAAACAATAAAAGCAATACAAACCTCATTGCTGGTCAGCGTTTAACCGACTCATAGTTAGGTTCTACTTTCCACACATTGTTGGTCCTATCATTCTGGTTCCATGTCTAATTGTCAGGGTGCCCAAAGGCCTGGTCCCAGAGCCACGTCTTTACCTTCCTCCTGAAGGCAAGGAGGGAAGTTGAAGCCCTAATTTCCCCCGGGAGTGAGTTCCACAGATGAGGGGCCACCACTGAGAAGGCCCTGCTCCTCGTCCCCACCAGCCTCACTTGTGATAGCGGTGGGGTCGTGAGCAGGGCCTCCCCAGATGATCTCAAATTCCGAGATGGGACGTAGAGGGAGATACGTTCGGACAGATACGCTGGACCAGAACCGTAAAGGGTTTTGTAGGTCAAAACCAGCACTTTGAATTGTGCTTGGAACTGAATCGGCAGCCAGTGGAGCTGACACAACAGGGGGTGGTGTGTTCCCTGTATGTCGTTCCATTAAGCAGTCTAGCTGCCGCTCGTTGGACCAGTTGGAGTTTCCGAACAGTCTTCAAGGGCAACCCCACGTAGAGTGCGTGGCAGTAGTCTATACGGGATGTGACAAGAGCGTGGACCACTGTGGCCAGATCAGACTTCCCGAGGTACGGGCGCAACTGGTGCACAAGTTTTAATTGCGCAAAGGCTCTCCCGGCCACCGCTGAGACCTGGGGTTCCAGGCTTAGCGATGAGTCCAGGATCACTCCCAGTTGCGAACCTGCGACTTCAGGGGGAGTGTAACCCCATCCAGTACAGGCTGTAACCCTATACCCTGTAACCCTATAAGTTCAAAACACCTAGAGGAGCAGAGTTTGAGAAACATTGGTGTAGACTTTCATCTCATTTGCAGAGTTTCAGCTTGGGGAAGGCTGTGCCAAGTGAATTAAAATAAAATGAGCAAATGAGGGGGAAAATTAAACAAAAGTATAATTATTTTCAGTACTATAAAAGCAGGGATCCCTTCCTTTCTGTGCTCTCAATACATTGCAATTATCATCCCTAGGGGTTGCATCCTTACATTGGTTTGCAGCTGTTTTATTTTTCCTTATGCTTTACTGCTTGGCTTTTTAAATGATTTTGCTGCCCCTGTATGTCTGCATTTGGGTTATTTATTTGTTGGGAGTGACACGCAATAATCCTTTACATAAAGCAGTAGATTCACCCTCTAGATGAGGTTTTGGGCATCTTAGAAGAAGCATATAGTGCTCAGTGAAATATCTGGAGATAAGACAGTTCTAATTTGTAGCACTTGGTCATTGTACATTGCCAAACACTCCTAGCACTCTCAGTCTTTGAGATCATTAGTCCTTTAAACTTTGTAACACATTTGTTTTTGTGCTTCTCCTTCTCTGTTTTAGTAAAACCAGTGTTTTTTGTGTATCTCTTTTTCAGGTTTTCTTATCGTCACCTTCTGCAGCTTGACTGTCCTTGGCAAAGACGCTTTGATAAGTGGCAGAACGTGGGCTATTACCCTCCTTGTTATAGTTTTCCTCCTTTGCTTAATTTGCACAGTGGTTATTTGGAGACAACCTGAAAGCAAAACCAAGCTCTCATTTAAGGCAGGTGGTTTCAAAGAAAGATTTATGATGGAGGAATGGGGAAAATAATCTTAAGCCTTTTTTTTTTTTGGCTCCATGTAGGAAAGCAAGAGATTAATCAGAGTTTAGCCTGCTCTTGCCAGAAGGTCAGGAATTAGTTGGTGGAAAGAGGGTGAAGATGCAGAACAAACTTTCCCACGCAGATTGGCTGAATGCACCTCAATCCTGACCTTCAGCAGTCCTGGATACTCCTTTTTCTTTCCTTTCTTCTGACATACAGTCTGTCTGTACTTTGTAGCAGACAATCAGGGGATATGTGCAGTTGCCATTGTCTTTTGGCACTCATTACAGTCTTTCAGTATGACCAAATCATCCCATCATTCTGCATCTTAAAAAAATAAACTATTTGGTTCTTCTTACTATGAAACACCAAAGAACCAACTGCCCCCCTCCCCAAAACCCCCTACAATACCCTTTTCATCCCGAAGAGGGTCCTGATTAATATTATAAAATAAATAATAAAGAAAATAAAAAGAAAAGAGTAACCTGAGAAGCAAATAGTACTACTACCACTTCATTTTTAAAAGGTCCAACACCTTTTCTCTTTCCTTCTTAAATCTTCAAAATAGCCTGCAGTAATTTATTTATTTATTTATTTTATTACTGTGCTTGTATACCGCCGTTTCTCAGCCTAAATTGGCGACTCAACGCAGTTTACAACAGTACAACAAACAACAATATTCAGTTTAAAACCATAAAAAACAGCATACACGATACCCAATATACAATATTGGCCCGTCAATAATAATCCATGCATCTCTTAACTAAAATCATAATCCAATTTCATCGTCCATATTACCAATCTTTTAGTCATCAGTTCATTGTACCGAATTAACCGAATGCCTGTTCGAACATCCAGGTCTTCAATCTTTTTCGAAACACCATCAGCGAGGGGGCTGATCTTACCTCCATGGGAAGGGCGTTCCACAGCCGAGGGGCCACCACAGAAAAGGCCCTGTCTCGTCCCCGCCAGCCGCACCTGTGAAGCAGGCGGGATAGAGAGCAGGGCCTCCCCAGAAGATCTTAGGGTCCTGGTGGGCTGATAGGCAGAGATACGTTCGGATAGGTAGGTTGGGCCAGAACCGTTTAGGGCTTTAAAGGCCAACGCCAGCACTTTGAATTGAGCCCGGTAGCAGATCGGCAGCCAGTGGAGCTGGTGCAGCAGAGGAGTTGTGTGCTCCCTGCGCTCCGCTCCTGTTAGTATCATGGCTGCCGCCCGTTGGACTAATTGGAGCTTCCGGGCCGTCTTCAAAGGCAACCCCACGTAGAGAGCGTTGCAGTAATCAAGACGGGATGTAACCAGAGCGTGGACTACCGTGGCCAAGTCAGACTTCCCAAGGTACGGTCGCAGTTGGCGCACGAGTTTTAACTGTGCGAATGCTCCCCTGGTCACCGCCGAAACCTGGGGTTCCAGGCTCAGCGATGAGTCCAGGATCACACCCAAACTGCGAACCTGCGTCTTCAGGGGGAGTGCGACCCCGTCCAACACAGGCTGTAACCCTATACCCTGTTCGGCCTCATGAACATCATGAAATTGCAGAATGAAATGATCTAGGCTGCAATCCTATGCCCATTTGAACTCCATTGAATCCAGTGGGATTGACCTCTGAGTTGACATGTTGTACGATTATATAAGTATCCTGTAAACAAACACATGTTGCACAGCAGTTCAAAATACAACTAGAACTACAATAGGAATGCCAGATGAAAAATCATAGAATCAGAGTTGGAAGAGACCTCATGGGCCATCCAGTCCAACCCCCTGCCAAGAAGTAGGAAAATCATATTCAAAGCATCCCCGACAGATGGCCATCCAGCCTCTGTTTAAAGTACTCCAAAGAAGGAGCCTCTACCACACTCCGGGGCAAAGAGTTCCACTGCTGAACAGCTCTCTCAGTTAGGAAGTTCTTCCTCATGTTCAGGTGGAATCTCCTTTCCTGTAGTTTGAAGCCATTGTTCCACGTCCTAGTTTCCAGGGTAGCAGAAAACAAGCCTGCTCCCTTCTCCCTATGACTTCCCCTCACATATTTTTACATGGCTATCATGTCTCTTCTCAGCAAGTCTAAACGTGTCCAGCTCTTTAAGCCATTCCTCATAGGACTTATTCTCCAGACCCTTCATCATTTCAGTCACAAAAGTTAGAAGACACCACAAAAGCCATCCAATCCAACTCTCTGCCATGCAGGAATACACAAATCAAAGCACTCCTGATAGATGGCCACCCATCCACGAATGAGTCTATGCTACATAGCCTCTGGTTTTGTAATGTGCGGCAAAGAGATGGGGAACCTGTGTGGCCCCAAGGTGTTGTTGCTCTCATTAGATTAAATGGCCATTGTTACAGATACTGGGCAAAAACTCTCAACCTGGCTTTTCGAGCAGGCCTTCCCAAATACGGCATAGTTATATGACATTATGTGCCACTGATGACGCAACTGGACAATGATTTGATATGGAGACGCTTTGATAATGTTTTTAATGATTTGTATGGTTTTTATATTTTTATATTGTTGTTAGTGTTTTAATAGGATTTTATTATTGTTTTAATTGTTGTAACTGTTTTGGCATCGGATTGTTGCCTATTGTTAACCGCTCCGAGTTGCCCCTAGGCTGAGAGGGGTGGTATGCAAATGTAGTAAATAAATAAATAAATACTTCAGCCATGGGATTTTTTGTATAAAGGAGAATTCAAACTATTCTTCTGTATAGGCTTGAAGAGTAGGTATTGCTGATCTTTCATGATATTTTAAATGAAAGTAGGCATAGTGTTGCAGCAACATAGTCTTGAGTATGTCAGGCTACAGATTTTGTGATAGAGACTCCCATCTTTGCTAAACATGGAATGTAGAAGGCTTCAAAAGGTTAAGAATATTTGGCCCTTAGTTGCAGACTAAGGCTGTTGGGAGTTATGGCTCAGCAACTTCTGGAGTACCATCCTTGTCTTCAGGGGTCTATAGGAGTAAGATGTACCAACGATAGAACAATATTAATCCTAGTATGTGCTAAATTGATGGCAGTGTTTCTAGAAACAAAGGTAGAATCATATGATGCGCGAAGATTGCTAATAATATGTTTTTACTGTCGCAGAACATGACTATGTACACAGACTATGTATTCACATCTCTCTTCCTTTGCTTTTTCAGGTCCCATTTCTTCCTGTCCTTCCGATACTGAGCATCTTTGTGAATGTATATCTTATGATGCAACTGGACGGTGGCACCTGGATACGTTTTGCCATCTGGATGTTATTAGGTGAGTTTGCAACTTGTATTTTCACCTTGTCAGACAATGTTTGGGAGAAACAAGCCAGCTGCGTAGAGCCCCTGCCTGTTTTCCTATCTGGCTCTCTTCCCAAATTAGAGATCAAAAATGAAAAATTGCCCCATTTCCAGGAACAAAAAATCTGATTTATTAAACTAAAACTTTGCTTATGCATATGTTTAATTATATGTGATTTTACTTATTTTTTTAAATGTTGTAAGCTTCCTTGAGTACTAATTTCGGAGAAAATATATGGGGTACAGATAAAGTGATAAGATGCATTCTTAGTGAGGTATGGATTAACTCCAGAATCCTTATAGAAAGGTTAAGACATATTTACACATGGATTTACTGTAGTTTCCAAATTTTGAAATCTTCAAATCATCTTGAAAACAAACCACAGCTGTAACAGCAACCATTATTTGCAATTGTAGCTAATCTCAATTTCTTCCATGTAGAACAATTGCTGTAAAAACATGATTTCTGGTTACCACAAAAATTGGCATGGACAGTTATTCCTAAACCTACCAAAGAGATTTGTCTTTCATATACAACAAGGTAGTGCAATGTTTTAGAGCACCCTCCTTTTAAGATCAGCATCTTTCAAACCAAAAACAAAGTGGCAGCTCATCAAGCTGGTAGGAAACACTGTATGCCCTTGTCTTAATAATCATAATCATAATAAAACTTTATGTATATTCAGCCCTGTCTCCCTGAGGTGATTCAGGGCAGATTCACAACAAAAGATTGTGAAGATTCACAGCAAACATTCCATGCCAGATCCAATTCATTAATAAAAAACATAAAACAAACAATTATGTTTCCCCCCCCCCAAAAAAAAATCTATCATAGCAGACATTAGACATAAATTATATAAACAACAATAACATTCTTTTAAGATAATTGTTAAAATATTATTCAGCCAGCGAGATCAAAGGTACCAACTGAGTCTGAGTATGGTCACATTGGGAAAAATGCAGTAGCATTCTGTGCCAGTTTAAGCTTTTTATCATCTTGAAGGACAACTTTGTATAGATAACTTCCCAGCAATTAAATGTGGAAGTTATAGAAATGTGAGTCAGCAAATGAAGGCTTGATCAGATCAGAAAAGCAAAAATGTTCCATATGTCGAAAAGCACCTGGAATGACAAACCTGACATTCTTGAGCAGCGTTAGTGGAAACAGGAGCCATTCCCAGAAGCTCTTTCTTTCACAGGTAAACAAATCCTCTCTGCACAATTGATGTTGTTTGGAACATTTCAGTTACGGCATTAGTCTACCATTGTTTTGTATTCTTTCCATGGTTCATAGGGCTGTGGACCGTCAGTTGACCTTGTTCTGACTAATATTACACTTCTTTCTCCATTCCTCCAGGTATGGTAATTTATTTTTGTTATGGCATATGGCATAGTGTGGAAGCATCTTACTCAGCACCAACAGATGCAGAACGAAGTACAGAGAACAACATGGACAATTGTAAATGATTGATTGCCTTATTACGCTGAAAGACAGTTGAGCTTCACTACAGAGAAGGGGCGCTTTTTTGTCTGAGACACTGAACTAATTTTATTTTTGTGGAACATCTGGTGGCGCTCCCATGTCCCCCCCACTGCCCATAGCAGCTTGCGTTTACCTCGGTGGGACAGCTCCAAAAGATCACAAGGAAACAGCCAATCCTCTGACATACGCCTAACAAATACTGTTACCTGATGCCGGCAGCTCTCTTCTTTCCACCGCACCATCCTTTATCATATATGTGTGTGTTGGGAAAAACTGTTTCTCTGTATGCCAGATCACCTCCAGTGCTGCTATGAGACCAAGTCTTTTGGAGAACCTGCAAAATAACTTCCTGGGTACTGTACTTGGAATTTAAAGGGAGCAAACTCTGCATCGTCTGTCTGCAAAGTCACCCACCTGGCACCACCAAAAGTCAAGATGTCCTTGCTCAAAAAGAAAGTAGAAATATCCAATTTTAATGGAAGGTTGGGTGGTGTTATTTAATCATTGTACTTGATGTATTTTGTGTGCAGGTAACCCCTGTGCTTTGAAATGCAATGTTGCAGTTAGCTTCATTAGTGGCTCTCAGGCTGAGTTTTTGCTCTTGAAACACAAATGGTTGTTTAGATCAGTAACGTATCCTACAGCTTATGAAAAAAGCTTCCAGCGAGTAGTATAATGCTTTGTGGAAAATATGGTTATTTGCTCATCTATTGGGTTAGGTATATGCCAAACTTGTAAACTGAAAAGCAGTTATGGGTTTAGGTTGCTGCTGCCATGCCATATGAATTAATACCACCTTTTGAGGACAATTACTGAAGCTCCTTGGAAGTGAGTCAGAGCAACTGTATACAATCATTCAGTCAATCCATTTGTAGAGATGGATTTGAATCTAGATCTGTTAGGTCCAATGACAATGCCAGCTAATATAAGGTTCTGCTGATTTGGCTTTCCTGCAACAAGAGTAGTACCAGCTTGAGTTAGAATCCTGCTAGAGGATTTGGAATGAGTGTATATATTTTGTGAAGTAAATCTATTGTGAAATACTAGAAGTCAAAGAAGTGAACATCTGCAGCCAAGCATGAGAGTGTGTGCTAACGTATCATGCACCTCGAAGAGCTTCTTGGTTATAACATTTTTATAGCAGTTCTGTGCTGTCAGTAAAGTGCTGTTCCCATTTAGTAAATGCTTGAGAGTCAAGCTTAGCTGTGCTGAACTCCAAATAGGATTTTGTGCTGTTTTCAGACACTTCTGGTACATGTGTGTACTCTCATTGAAGTGCCGTGATATAATAAGCAGCAGAAGCTGCTAAGATAGCTGCTTGTAATTTTAAAGCCATTGTTAACTGTCTATGCATAGATAGAACCACCTCTATAAAAATGTGGGTTTCTGCGGGAAGAATACCCCATGAGTTTAAACAGATACGTACTGTAAAAAAATGTAAATATTATAGTTTATTATTAATATTTGCTTGCATTTTCAGTCTCCCTGGAGACCCGAATATATTATTTTATTATTAATATTATTAATATTATTTTGTATTTATATGTAGCTGCTTCATTAATTGCATTTGAGGCAGATTTTTTTTGAGGGGGAGACATTTAGGGGAATTAGATTATTATTTTATTTTTGGTAAAGATTTTATAATTGGTGTGAGAAAATTCAGTAGAGATAATTGTTCTCTAAAAGCACCCCCAGTTTCTGTTGGGGTAAGGGCCAAGAATTTCATTCCATGAGCATGTGTTTTGGATGGAGAAGGTCTCATCATCCCTCAGGTAGGGCTAAAATATATATATAACCCTCTGCCTGAAACATTGGAGAGCTGCAGCATGTCTATGTTAACATTATTGAGCTTGGTGATCCATCAGTCTGACCTCAGTAAAAGAGAGTTCGCCATATGTATCTGGTATTATTAAAGCACAGCTGTTATTGTAACAATCATGTGAGGCCACAACTGCAGGGAGTGTGAGTGTGATCCATAAAAGAGCATAGATAAGAATGGGATGAACCAAGAAGCAAAAGAAGAACTTCTTTTGAGCCTAGCTGCCCTTTTCTGTGAGGAAACCATTGTGGACAAATTGGGGTGTCTTATGATCAAAGGTTAGAGTGTGTAAAATAGTTTTATTTGACCTGAATAATCTGTTTTAGCAGTGCGCTAAGACAGGATTAGAAATCGTTGCCCCTGCTTCCACATATTTTTACTCTTCAACTCCCAGAAGCCTTAGTCAGCACGGCCAGTGGTTAAAGGGTCATCAGATTTGTTCAAAAAACAGTTGGAACAAGGTTCCTCAACAGTATCTTAAGCTTCGATGATAGATTCATCCATTTTTCTTTTTGTCATTCTGTGGGAACCTTTTTCACAGATTTTATTCTTTTCTCAACATATTAGGATGGTCATAATCCTATCCTGTGAGAGCTAGCATTATGTAGTCTTTTGAGCTCTGGAATACAGTGTTCCCTCACTTATCGCGGGTGTTACGTTCCAGGACCACCCGCGAAAAGTGAAAATCTGCGAAGTAGGGACGCTATATTTATTTTAATATTTATACATTATTTTAGTAGTTATATATCATTTTAAGTCTTTATAAACCCTCCCCACACACTTATACACTACATAATCCTTTTCCTTTACCTAATAAACAAAATCCTTCAGTAACTTTAGTTGAGCAGCAACTTTTAGAAAGCGCTTCACTTCCATTGGACATATATAAGAAGCATTCACGTGCACAGTCTAGCCCTCATGCTTCCTTACCCGCCTCTGCTAAGCTAAGAGTCCACCCAGTAAACACCCTGGAGCTACTTCCGTGGCCACGGTAGTACCATAGGCCGCACTTCGTGACCAGCAGGCCTTCCTCACCATGCCTCAGGCCTGGCCCGCACACCAGCCTCCTTTTCTGAGGCCCATTCGCCTTAGAAAGGAAAAACTGCAAAACAGCGAGTCCACGAAAAGTGAACCGTGAAATAGCGAGGGATTACTGTACCCCTTTGGAGACAGGATTTAAATCCCTGCCCAGCCATAGAAACCCGGTGGTGACCTTAAGCAAGCCAGACTATCTCAGCTTTAGAGGAAGGTAAAGGCAACATCTCTGCCAAGAAAACCTGTTAAATGGTTTGCCGTAAATTGGAAGGAACCTGAAGGCACACAAGAACAGATCCCTGTTGCTTGGGCCCCACTTGCTGTGAGGGCATTTCCTATAGGAAAAAATATCCTTACACAGAAGTCACATTGGTTCTTTTAAAAACCTCCTTTGTGCCAAGCTCCGTGTTACCAGTGACTTTAAAACCACTTAGACTGATTTATGAAATTATTCTCTAGTGTGAGCTGCCATTCAGACTGCTTTGAAACTGCTGCTTGTACAAAATCTTTCCTTAACTAGGAGCAGATTTATGAAGGTGTTGCCACTGCCCTTTCCCCTTTAACTTTTAAATCAAACTTTTGTTTTAGGTGTAAGGGAATACAACATCTTGGCCTAATTTATTGTTACAAATATATTCTCCTTTTTAAGTAAATTAGGGCCTGTTCCATACTCCACATGAGCAAATATGGAAATTGGGTTGTGACAGCATATGAAACCTCAACTCTGTAGTTCTGTTAGGAAAAAAAGAACTGCTGGAATCCAGACATCAGTAACATGTTAACTTCTAGCAAGCATTTTAGCACAAACTGTAATTGCAGTGCAAACCTAAATGTATCTACAGTAGAGGCCCCCATTATCCAACCTTCGCTCATCTGACATTTGTATTTGACACAGTCTGCCTCCTGCCCTGATCCACAGCTGTTTCTCTAGGCAGCAACATGCACTGGGCCTCTCCTCGCACCAGGCGCCCGCTGGTAGGGGCAAGATACACCTGGCACAGCATCTGACCTACACTGTCTGCGCATTGCCCCTCCTTGCAAGCGCCCGGTGAGCGGAGAAGCCCACTGCATGTTGCTGCCTAGAGAAACAGCTGTTTCACTAAGCCAGAGGTCCGCAAACATTTTAAGCAGAGGGCCAGGTCACAGTCCCTCAAATTTCAAAAACAAAAACATGAATGAAATCCTATGCACACTGCACATACCTTTTTTGTAGTGCAAAAAACACTTAAAAACAATACAATAATTAAAAAGAACAATGTTAACAAATATAAACTTATTAGTATTTCAATGGGAAGTGTGGGCCTGCTTTTGGCTGATGAGATAGAATTGTTGTTGTTGTGTGCTTTCAAGTCGTTTCAGACTTAGGTTGACCCTGAGCAAAGGCCGGGTAAATGACCTTGGAGGGGCATATCTGGCCCCTGGGCCTCAGTTTGGGGACCCCTGTTCTAAGCAGTAGCACACAGCAGGGTTCACTGTGCACCAGGCACAGATTTTCCCGTCGGGCACAGCATCCAGCCTGCACCAGCTACATCTCGCCCCTCCCAGAAAGCATCCAGCATGCAGAGAAGCCCACTGTGCATTGCTGCCTAGAGAAACAGCTTTCCTTAATCCTTCCTTATCATACAACATTTTCACTTATCCAACGTTCTGCTGGCCCCGTTTATGTTGGATAAGCAAGACTCTACCGTACTTGGCAGTAAATCCCATGAAATGCACTAAAGAGCTTGTGTGTGCATGTACTTTCAAATTGTCCTATCAACTTACAGCAACCCCATAAACCCCACAGGGTTTTTTTTTCCTGGTAAGGAATACTCTGAGGCAGTTTTGCGCATACCTTCCTCTGAAATATAGCCTATAATACCAGATATGTATTGGCTATCTCCTGACCAAATGCTCATCAAGGCTTACTCTGCTTAGCTCAGGATCTGATGCTTTCGGGGTATTTTTGCTAGCAATTAGGCTTACTACCCTGTGTATTTGGGAATTCACCTTAATGTGGCAATAGGTATGTCATTGAAGAGCTTTATTTTAAAATTAATTTTTAGAAGACAATTTTGGAAGACAAAATAGTTATTCCTTACTCTTCACTCCAGTTACTAAATTCTTTATAGCTCTGTACTCACTTGGTAATGCTTTATTAACTTTTGGGCAATACAGCGGAAGTGAGTGCTAATAATCTTAGTAACTCTGGAGTATAAACATTAAACTAATATCAGACTTTATCTTCATTCCAACCAGGAAGGCTTTTTATCTCTTTGCAGTTCCATAATCCAAAGCATACACAGTTTTTACAATATATATATATACACAGTCTCTCCTTGTTTTGCTTACAGTATTCTCTTTCACTGTATCTTCATTTATAAAGCAGTATTTGATCCACTGGTTCCCAGAATCAAATCAAATTCTTTCACACACCAGAACTTCTATCATCAGGAAGCCCACGTGCTGTGATTATTTGCTTAATTTATATTCCTCTTAACCAATCACCTGCTGTGTTACACCTTCCCTACTGCAGCATATTCCTTATTGCTTACAGATCCCATTAGTTATTCTGATTTACTCAGAACTTAGGTTCTGCTTAGTTACTCCTGTCTTTACAATTAACCATGAAACTGCCAGATACTTTACCAAACTCTTAACAGTACTGTGAAATGCAGAAAGTGGAGTGCGAACTTCTTCCAGCAGTTAAATCTTGCAACTGTAAACAGGTATAGACCAGGTGGCCTATGTACCCTCAATGCTGAAACATAAACGTAAAAATTATAAAAAGTTTATGTTTATGGGTGAAAATCTGCACAAATGCTGCTGTATGTTTGCTATTGTAAAGAATAGGAGGTCAATTATTGAAGCTTTTCTCTGTAAATAGATGGATAAGTATTATAAGTTTTTAAAAAAGGATGGTTTTGTATTGCTGCTAGGACACTTTGCTGTATGTAATGATGTATTCTGATGTGTTGCCTGCTTTGGAATGTGTACTACAGAGAAAAAAAAGCCTGAATAAGGTGCATCTACACCAGGCCTGGGCAAACTTCAGCCCTCTGGGTGTTTTGGACTTCAACTCCCACAATTCCTAACAGTACTGGATGTTAGGAATTGTGGGAGTTGTAGTCCAAAACACCAGGAGGGCCGAAATTTGCCCAGGCCTGATCTACACTGTAGAATTGATTTAGTTGACACCATTTTAAATGCCCTAGCTCAATGGTATGTGATCATGGAAGTTGTAGTTTTACAAGGCCTTCTCTGTTAAAGAGTGCTGGTTTATCAAAATACAACTCCCAGGACTTCATAGCCACAGTGTAGATGCACCCTAAGTCTCCATAGTAGAAGGATCTATGGCAGTGGTTCTCAACCTGTGGGTCCCCAGGTGTTTTGGCCTACAACTCCCAGAAATCCCAGCCAGTTTACCAGCTATTAGGATTGCTGGGTTTTGAAGGCCAAAACATCTGGGGACCCACAGGTTGAGAACCACTAATCTATGGGTTCCTTTGTAAGCCATCTGTTCAGGAGCTATTTTTTCATTTCTACTAGGTTGTGAGGTTGGTTCATTTGGTTTTGTAAACTTACTGAAATGCATCATGAATGAATATGTATATATGAATGTGTATATATGTGAACCATAAGTGCAAGTTATCCACACATGTGACTAGTGGTTCCTTAAGCAACAAGATGAGATGCGCTGTTCATAGTACAGGGTCACAGTACAATTTTACTTTGATTACCACCCCACACCCCAAGACCGAGAATTTTACCAGTTAACCTTAATGCAACAGCGGCCAGACTCCAAAATGAATTCTGCTCATAGCAAAGTGCATGTTTGTTTGCTTTTTTGAGTGCTACAAGCCACAGAATTGTACGTATGTTTGCTTCTGTTGAAACTAGATGGCATGAACGTGCGTATTGTTTTTACACACTTGAAGCTGTAAGATACAATCTATTCAATGAAATATGTAAAGACTTTATTTTTTTCTTCAGTCGAGGTAGGGTTGCAACATAGATTTTTGTGCAAAAGTTATATGTTTAATATGCAGATATGGATAAAAGTTACTTTTTCCGCCATTTATGCTCAGTTGACCAAATATTCCACTTTTTACATGGATGAAAGTAATATATTTAGGAGCAATTAATTAACTATTACCTTCTTAGCTAGTCAATGGGAAGCACATGCAATATTGTTTTTCATTATCTCTTCCTTTTCCTATTACTTTCTTTATCATTCAGGCATTGCTTGAAATGTTATCCAAAAATGTTGGAACCAAAATAATTCCAACCAAAAACCCTCATGCTGAGGTTGTAGTCCTTTTTCATGCTTAGCTGTAAACTGAGAGATGAATTTGTAATGCCAAGGAAATTCTTATGGCATGCATTCTCCAAAGTACCTTAGTTGAAATGGACTCATATTCTCTAACGTAAGGGTAAGGCAGCCTGGTAACCTCTAGCTATTTAGGATTGCAATTGCCATAGATCCCAGCCATTCAACATGTTGGGAAATGTGATAGTTGCAGTCCTATGTTGTGATTTGTAGCTGCTCAGAAAGTCACCAGGTAGCTTCCCTTTATTTTTTAACTTAACAGATGCTTTATTTTCTGAAAAGTGGATGTACTTTCAGTACCATTGGATGACTGAGTATATGTTTACAGGGAAATTCTGTGCAATTTTAATTCCCTCTCTTTATCCAAATGTATATTTAATGCTAAGTGCTAAAAAAGAAAATACTTATTCAGTATATTCCTGGATGTACAGTACTGATCACATCTACATTGGAGAACCCTTGGCTGCCACTTCAGTCCAAGATAATTTGTGAAATTAAGGTTGTGATTAGGATGTGGTTGGGGAAGCCAAAGCTTATCAGAGAGTAATCATTGATGTATACTAGATTCCCTCCATTAAAAAAGGTTTTTGAGTAGGCCCACCTCCTATTGATTGAGCAATTAATATTAATTCAAAGTCATTCTAGTCATTCATTTTCATAGAATTGTATTTCAATTCTGAAAATTTCAGGATGTGTTGCTGTACTGGAGAAAGACTGGATGCACCATGAAAGCCCCAGTCTGAAAATGTGTTCATGTAGCTTTGTTAAACAATAAGGCCCACTAGCTCAATGGGAGGTGGGTGCAGAGCTACCTTCCCCCCCTAGCTTCCTTGTACAGCCACATGGTATTGCTTTTGATATAACATAGTGATATGTACCTAGCTCTAAAAGGTGGTTACAGAGAACCTACCTGTTCAATAGGGTTTTGTATGCACTGGGTTTCTCCTCCCGTGCAAGATAGGGAACGTAAGTATGCATCCACATCGTTACACTATCTGGATACATCAGGAATTCATGTTCCATAATTAGATACTGATATTCGTTAAGTCTCATTTCGTTTAAATTGACTCAAGTCTACCATGTCTCACACAGCTCTCGGATTTCATTACACAGGGTATTGACAGGGTAACAAACAATTCCTCCTGTGGCTATAATGAAAGAAACTCCCAAACTCTGCTATGGATCTCTGTAATATTAAACCTATTGTAATATTAAATCGGAAATACAGGTCCTACCTTTAGTTATGAATTTCTTTGAAATTTCTTTGGGTTGGATGCTTATAGAGTTAAGTGGCTATTTTACAGGGGTTTCTTGGGAGGAAGGAAATTTTGTCATGTTCTCTTGCATTATCTGCACTGTAACTATAGTAATAAGGCAAGTAATTGACTTCTTGTTGATTAATTGTGCTTTAAGCATTTGAGACGCAAGTCTTAAATTTCCTTTCTAAAGCCTAAGCCCTGTTGAAGACACTGGACTTTGTGTGAATATGCATATGTTTGCCCTGCAAATTGAAATAAATTAACACACTTCAAAAATATTGGAAATGTGCAAAATCTTGCTCTCATGTTACAAGATAATACTATTTGTATTATTTCCCCCCTAATCTCTGATTGGATAACTGACCAGTTAAAATGGTTTGGAAAATTAATATGTAACTGCTTTGCCTTTAGATGCGCAAGTTCCTATCAGTTAAAAGAAGACAGTCCCTATCCCACATGCAATGATTAATCATTTAGAGCTTTAATGTGGCTGTAACTGTAATGGCATTTTCTTGGCAAGGCTGGAAAATTGTAGTTTTGTTCTTTAAGCAATTTGTGAATTTCCTGGAATAACTTCAGGACTTGATTCCATCTCCCTTTTACTCACTTTCGATGCTGGTTTGACTTGGTTTTGCACCCTTTGAGGCACCATTGTTGGTGGACTGCCTTTGGTTTAGTGTTCTTTGTGCATGTCATGTAAGCATGGATTGTTCCTTTTCCCCTTTCCAGTTCGAATTTTGCATTTCCTTGGTTGTTTGCCTAAATATCTTTTTGTTGCTGAATTTAACTAGTGCATCTCAAAGCAGCTTGCATTGCAGAAACGATCATATGTCCACTTGTCACAGTCCCCTTGTTACGGCAGTATTTGGAATGTACTCATAAGGCAAGGGACAAATGTTATGGGGTTGATGCTTGTTGCAAATTGAAACTTCCTCAGGGTATACTGTTTCCTTGCCCTTAGCACACGTCCCAAGGCAGGGGAGGAACCCCTCTCTATCAAGGCAACAAAATGTCAAACCATGAAGAATTTTCTTATCCAAATCACAAGTGGCCATACCTGTGCCCTGCCCTCCAAAACAGTTGTAGTGTGTGTGGATCTAATGAGGTGGAGGGTTCACGTCGTTCTGTTGTGCCTTTCAGTATACGTTGGGTCTCAGGAGCACAAACAAGTGTGGCACCATTAGGGTTGTACTGTTCAAGCCTTTTGGAATTCATGAGCTTCCTTCAGGAACACATCTGTTACAAATCAAGAAGCCATGAAAGAATGTGTGCATATTTGTATTGAGTAAAATGTATATACTTCTTTGTTGACTGTTCTATTTTTCTAATTGTTTCCTCAGAATTTCTAACTTGTGATATAGTTACTCAGCTTCTGATGCTGATGTAGTTCCTGTTGCTTTTTTCCTTCTCCCATTTCAGTGGAGTTAATCTCTTTGTTTTCCTTGGAATTTGCCCCGCCCCTTTTAAATAAAAACCTTTGTTCTTGTTTTTTTAAATGTGAAATCTGTCTAGAGCCTCTGCTTAATCGAAAGGTTTCTGCAAATGACACTGTAAATATGTGGTTTTTCCCGCTCAGATGATGTAGTTTTTTTGACTTGAGAAATCAATTTGTAAATATGTGATATTGCATTAAAACTGTTTCTTTTAATGGTTCAAATAAATTATGCTAGTTTCAGTCAGCTTTACTTGATTGGTTTTTTAAAAATGTCTTTCAGTTTGTTCTTGCATACTGGTACACACAATTGCTCTTCTGTGAAACAATTCACCATCTAGGAAAGTGCTTTTGTTTTTCTGTGTGGGTGTGTTCTTTCATACTGCTAATTTGTCTCCCCGCCCCTTTTCCTTGCACAACTCATCATTGTGGTTCTGCTGCATTCTAATGCAAGAGCTTGTAATTGCAACAGATCTTCAGACGAATTTTCTGCACTTGGAAGTGTCCAGAGAGTAACGTAGGCTGCCAGAATACCTCCCCACACACAAAAAAAGAGGAAGACACAAATTCGCTTCAGTAGTTTTTTTTAATGTCAAGAGGTTAAGGGCTACACAAAGAGCCTTGTGATCCAAGGGCGACACTTTATCTATCCTGTTCTAATTAAATTCCGTATCTTACTGCGTTGGAACACATTTGACAGGAATTTTCAAATTGGTACGAAAAAAGCCACTAAGAGGACAACTGTTGAGATGGGGATGGATTCTAACCAAAGACAAAAAGGTAATTGCACAGAAATATTCATATAGTATGGAAAGCTGTGATCTTTCTCTCACACCAATTTAATTAGGAACCAGATGCCACAGGTGGCTTTCATCATCTAGTAAGATGGGGAAATGGGTTGAAATACCATCAGTAACAAACACTGATGATTTCAGAAGAGCCAGTATCATCTTGTCCAGTGAAAGCATTTATGCAACCCCCACTTTGAACTAGAGTGTCAGCCGCATCACACTAGAGCACGGATCCACTTTAAATCCAGTTTCTGCTTCCTGCAGATTTCTGGGGCTTGTAGTTTCGGGAGGAATCCTGGGCCTCACTAAAGTACAAAAAATCCCAGAATTCTGCAAGAGGCAGAAACTGGATTTAAAGTGGATCCATGCTCTAGTCATGAAGCTAGGAGTCATGTATTAGGTACCCCCAATAGTCAATCAAGGAGCAAATAATTTATGTAACCAAACCAAATCTAAAGTTGTCCAAAAAGTGATTCATAACCCTTTTGGTACTAATGTTGGAGCGTGGTCCCTGGTCAAAGTGGTTCCAGGTCAAAAAAAGGCAAACCACTGATCTAGCTGCACCATCTATTCAAGCTACACCTATGTAGCTCAGAAAAATTTCTTGTGCTATAGACCTCTGGTATTGCTGGAAGTCTGTGAAGACAGGCCCTATTTCCAGGCTTTAACACTGCAACCAGATGATTAGGAGCCCATTAACTTCTGGTTGGTGTTGGTGCGCAGCCCAGTGTCTTTAAGCAACAAAATCCCAGTAGAGTGCAGCACAGGTTCTGCCAGTGGCCTTACTCTGTAAATGCTGTATTCAGCCCCGTATAGCTTCACTGCTAAGGAGGAGTTAGATTTCAATATAACTTGCAAAGCAGGAGTTACCATGGACATAGTATGATTTAGGACATTGCCTTGGAAACTACTGAATTCCACGTGATAGCTCTGTAGATAGAGGTAGTTCCAGGTTACGAACAAAATAGGTTCCGTAGGTTTGTTCTTAAGTTGAATTGGTATGTAAATTGGAACTGGTACATTTTTAAAGTGCAAGTCTGGCTAAATTTTGAGTTTTGAATAGCATAGAGGAGGATTAACGCCTCTGTAACATTTGTTTTGTAGTCTGTGGAGAAGATTTTACCTCACTTTCAGTCCCTATGACAATTGGATTTTGGAATGCAGAAACACCTTTTCACCATGATTACTCTTGCAGGGTGAATTTCTTCTCTTAGGTGTAGACTTCTTCACTTCCTTTTGCCTTACCTCCATTTGTAACTAGGAGTCATATGTAAGTTGGATGCTTGTAACTTTGGGACTGCCTGTACCAAGCAATCCATACCCCTCCCTTGCCCATCTCGTTAGCATCCATGCACTTGTCTAAACATAAACAGAATGGACACATGCTAGAGATACTAATGCTGGAGCATGTATTTATTATCATGAATATATATTACAGACACCTGTACACAGTAAATGAAATAATACAAACCTTTTTTTCCCCTGTAATTCAAATAGCCATATATCAAGTCAGATCACAAACTCTTATTGTGTATGGGATGGGGGAAACTTTACATAAGGATCCACCAGGTGTCCATGGGACACAATTGTAATCAGTGCAGAAAGAAATAATAATAATAATAATAATACCCGATTTGGATTATTTGTATTTAATGTAAAAGAGATCCTCGCCATCCAGTCCCCACTGATTTGTTAGTGGAAAAAGTTAAGCATTTTACATATTTCAAATGCAGGAAACAGGAGGTATGCTATTTTCTATCTTTACTCCTTCGCTGCTCTAAGGGCTGGTGCAGCATCTCTTTAGATTCCTAAGGCAGCAGGGCCCTGCTAATGGAAGTCATTGGGAATGAATTTCGTGGACTTCGGAGGCAATTTTGGAGAGATGGATATATTACATCACAGAGTTTGAAAACACATTTCACCCATTTGTATCTGTCCAAAGCTGAATGTTATATGGGAAACCCTCACATATCTTGGAGAGGTTTCGGGACAGGTGAGAATATAACGGTCTATGAACAAAATGTGAAAGTGTGGTGAGAAGAAATGCAACTTCAAGCACTTGCACCCTAAACTACACTCAGCAATTTGATTTCAAGGGCTTTCCTATGTTAACAACTCGTTAAATCCAAAATAGTTCTTACTTCTTACCATACAACTTTAACTGGTTGAAGGGATTGGGGGTGTATTTGCAATTTCTCCTTGCAAACCTAAGTGCTTGGTAAGATCACCCAAAGCAACAGAGGAAACAGTAAACATTGCTATCCTTGCCCCTGCCTTCTAGTGGGAAACCTTGTGTGATCTAGGTGTCCTATCCAACCCAGAGAGCAAATTCTGACACTTTTAATTTCACATCTGTGTGTTGAGAATAAAGCAGAATTGCACAAGAACATATGTGGAGTTTGTTTCCAAAAAAAGTACCAAATCCACCTAAACGATTTTAGTGGAATAATAAATAAGTGCTGAAGATATGCATTCATTTGATGTAAAATGCAGTTTTCCAGGCCCCTGTCCTCAAGTGATTTAATGCAGTTTGATAGGTTTGATCTGTACATAATATTCTACTCCTAGCCAACAATGTGCTGCTGCCATCTATAACTCTTTTTCAATTTTTTTTCCGATTTGGTACCTTTCGGAAGTGACTTGAAGTGACTGGACTGACCTTGAGGGAGCTGGGGGTGGTAACGGCCGACAGGGAGCTCTGGTGTGGGCTGGTCCATGAGGTCACGAAGAGTCGGAGACGACTGAACGAATGAACAACAACCTTTCGGAAACAAACTCCACATATATCTTGCACCTGATTCTTTGGGATCTTCAAAGAACATTGGTGCTACCATCAATTTATTTAACAAAATAAATGCAGCTTTGGAGATGCCTCAGAAGTAGAGGTGAAGCAAATATTGCCTTCCTAGGATGAGTGGGTTGTATGCACATCTAGGTAAGATAATAATCAGAGGCACGGACAGAAGCTATACAAGCTGCTCTCAGTTCCTCTCTCTTGTATGTGCCTAAGGAAATCCCATTGTGTAAGGCTGTTTTAGACAAGGAATACTCAAGGAACACTCAGAGATAGTTTGTCATTTTCTTTCTCTGCAGTATCGTATATAACACCATTGATAGTCCTTCCGATACTAAGCTTAGTCTCCTGGATTAGAGGGGATGAAGCATCTTCATAGTATTTAGGCTTGGACACTTTTTCTTGGACTTATTCCTAAAATCTGAAGACATACTTTGTTTAATGTATTTAAGAAATTAGAAGACAAGGAAATACTTGGTAGCCCTTCCACTCTTCTCTTATAGAGAAAGAACTGTTAGCATGGAATCTCAGCACATTTCTGGAGCTGGAGATACCAAACTATTGTTTTTCTTTCAGAAGACCTATCTTTCCAGCATCTTCCTCTGAACCAGCATGGGAGAATCCTTGACCAAAAGTTATATAAAAGGGACCAAATAGCAACATCCCATCACCTCTAGAGATACTTTGTTCCTCTCTTGCTATAAATTTGTTTCCATGGAAGAAGATTCCAAAGTAGCTACCACAACTAGTCCAAGAGTAGATCTGAGATTGAATAGTCCAATTTCCTTGATCTTCCCATTTCTTGTCT